TAATCCTAAATGACACTGTGTTTTTCTAACATAACAGCACAAATCGCCTCCTCTTGTTATTAATTAAGTCTGCTTATTATTTCCTGTTGGGTGGGACCTGCAAGTTCTGGCTGTGTATTTTTAAAGTTAAAAAACTAAGTGAAAATTTTCAAATATTTTGTCATGAGAAGATGCATTATTGAACAGCAGTAGAAAAACTAGGAAACATTTAGGAAATTAAATCTATCACAAGTATTAAAGAGAGTTCAGAAGTGTGATGCACTGAATCAGAACTGTTGGGTGCTGAATTATTGTAGGAAATCTAGACTCAAATTTATTACACCAGATAACTACTAAATTTGAAGAAAAATCCATAGCATGAGGAAATTCACTTGGCAAAGAGTAACTGGACTACCTGAATGGTTGCTTTATTAATTATCTTTTACATATCAAACAGAATTTTTGTGTAAGCATTTTATTCCTTTCCCAAATGTCAAAAGTAGTGAACTAACATGATAAGAGGAAACACTAAGATGCCATAAACATATAAACTGTTTTTCCAGGATACTGTCAGAATAAAGTTAGAATGTTTTTGTTAAAACACATTCAAAGCAACTTAAACCAAAGGAATAAACAGTATTCAAATAAATGGCAAACATACTCTGGTATATGTATAATGCTAAGTATATGTAAAAATACTGAGGTTCAACACAACAAAACAACTCTAGTAACTAAACTGTCTTTTAGCAATGTGGGATGGTAACGCTACTTGAACTAACCTGAATACCATGTTAAAATACTGTTACTTTCCCCTACAGATTAAAAAGAAACACTGAATGTTCTTTAGAAATAGTTCTAGTTCATACAAAGTTGTTCATCAAAGTCAAATTTTAACTTAAAGCCACACATATCCATTTTGTAAGCCTTAAGTGTAATGAATCATCAATATCAAACAGCAAACCTTCTCCTTTTGGGGGAGAAAGAACAGCATTTCTGAGAAGCCAAGTAGCAAGCAAACCCAAGATTTCAGAAGTCCAGTTCACATAAGGTTTGCTGTATCACCAGGTACTTTCACACAGGTTCTGGGGTCTTACTGAAGACACAGTCCCTCATCTCATGAACAGCAGCAGAGGGCTCAGAAAATAGCAAGGGCTGTTACCACTGCAATCACAAAAGTGAGCTAAGGGATTCTCAGTGACCTTTTGGTTTCGAATAGCTACTGAAAACATACCATCACAGAAACAGTCAGTTAAGTAACACCAGTAAGTGGAACCAAACAGGTAAAACTGAGTCCAGCACCATTACAGTTATACCCTAGGTTTCAAATTTACAGGTGCAAAGTGGTTACTAAGGCTTTTTTTTTTTTGGGGGGGGGGGGGGGGGGGAGATGGTTTTGGTTTTTTTTTTTTTCCCAAAGAAATAGTACAACTCCTGCAGCCTCGATTTTCTACAGTAACCTATGACACAACAAAAACCACTTAATCAGACCCCAAAAACATCTGCTCACTTAGTTTTTACTTCATTTGTATGTTAAAATCTGTCCATAAGTGTTTAAACACATAGAAATAAGATCTTTAAAAGAAACAAACAAACAAAAAACCAACCAAAAAAAAAAAGACAACCAACACCACACAACTCAGACCTACTTTGCTCTTGATCTGTTGATACCAGCACAGTTTGCTTGGAGGATGCAATGAAATATAGAGGTATTTCACTTTAGCTAATTCTGAATTTTAAATGAGGAAAAAAAAAAAAAAGTATCTGGCACTACTTTTCAAAAGAACATAAAAGTTGCAAGGGGAAAAAAATGCTAGCAGTAGCAACAGTAGCTTCCTCCCCACACATGGTCTGTCAGCTCCACCTAAATCCTAAACAAAGGATTTTACCTTGAGACTAGAATAATTTGAAACATCTTTTAAGGCCTTACTTCTGAAACTGCCAACAGTGCTTCAGCAAAATATATATGTTTAAATGAAAGCACTGAAGAAGACTCGCCGAATTATTTCTATGCCCAAAATTAGATGCAAATTTAGTGCCTGACTGACCTAAGGGCACAATTAATGACAACCATAATTATGATCTTATCAATGTAGAACTTCTTAAAAGGTTCACAGCATATTTAAAGGACATCAATTTACAACTTCCACTTCTAAAATAACTGTGTCAGAGCTAAAAGTGACCAAGACCAGGAACTTCTTTTTCATTATTTGCCTGAAACATTATCTCCTCTTTGTTTTATAATAGCTGTGTTATTTTGTGTCCGAGAACAAAAGAAAAGCTAGCAACACGTTGGAAAAAAAAATTTTAACTAAAGTTAGAGCTTTCATTAGTTGCTTAGGGAAATGAGTAACAATTTTCTTTAAGACTAATACTTCTGAATTTAGAGTTGGCAAACATTTACAGCACCGAAAGGTGATAAGATTTTAGCAAGTACATTTTGAAGAGATCTGTGAAAACAGAGTAATTAACCAGAATCTCTGAAGACCAAGGAATTTTCTCATCACTAGCTGCACCAGAAAGCCAACTGTAAGTTAGTAAAAAAAAACCCCAACATTGTATTTCACTGTATCTTTGCAACTTCAAAACATTTACTTTGTATGCATTTAACTACTGAGGGACACCTGAACTTTCTAGTCAGCATAGAGCACCCTTGATGGTAAAGACTTACAGGCCTTCAAACTTGGTTCCTGTCCTTACAGATTCAGTGACGATAAGCATGATAACATGAATTCCTAAATGCACTTATTTCTGGAGTTCGCATGTACTCATGAGACAGTGACATGGCAAGATTTTGGCAAAAGGCAATGATGAAAAGGAGTATTGTTTTCACAAAACCTCAAAATTCTATTAATTAGCCAATTTGCATCAGTGATATTTATTTGTAGGTATCCATTCCTGAATTCACATAATGCCACCTCAATGAAAAAGGTAAATTTAAATTTATTATTAAAATGTATTTTAAAAATAAAATACATAGTAACTGAAAAACAATTAAATAGCTGGTTTTCAATAAATGAAGCAGGAAATTTTCAAATGTGCATATAAATGAAGTATCACTGTCTGCTTTCCACCCTCTTGCCCTCTCCCAAGATTCCCTTCTTCTCTCTCCCTGCACACTTTTTTTTTTCCAGCAAACTTTTCTGATTTCAAAGTATATACTACAAAAACCTTACCAAGATGCTGACTGAACTAAGCAAATACAGGTATGAAGTCTATCTGCTACAACATTATTTTTTAAAAACACACAACATGACACACAGTGATACAAAGCCATTCTCAGTTTTACAACCTTAACTCTACTGAAAGTACATTCATTACCTGCATGAGAAAATAATTTCATTTTTTGATGACTCTACCGCTGACTGACATTTCTTTCTTTAAAAATGGGACAAAGGGTGGAAAGAAAAAGGCTTTCTCCCTTCTGTTTCATTTTTCAGATTAAATTATTTAACAGATCTTGCACATATTTCAGCACTGAGTTTCCTCGAAATCTCCACACTCTGTGGCAGATCCCAACAATAGTATTTCGGCATAACTGTCAGTTAATTGCTTGAGCCAGGGAAGTTCACAGAACAGAGGATCTGCCCCTGGATAGTTAGAGGCTGCTTTTTCCTCTTTCGTTTTCTCAATTAAACTGTAGTCATTTCTGTAGATTACAAAACGCTGCAGACAGGATGACGTCTTAGAATGACGATGTCTTGGTTAATGCTTTCCTAGAATGGGCTGCTACATTCTCTTCCCAGAGAATAAAAATGCTTTGACTGAAATACTATTTCAAAAGTTGATACTTCACAGTACATTGCACAGAGACTCTGAATGTCAATAAAAACAAAGTGCTGTATCTTCAACCCTATTCTGTGAGCTTGACAGTGGTCGTGTAGCACCTTACAGCACGTAAAGCACAAGGTGATATGGCAGAGAATACATCCACTTAGTACTAATTTTCTCTGTGAACAGAATAAATGAAGAGAGGACTTTTGAAGCACAAAACGTGTCAAATATGATCGGCACTTTAAAACCATTTTTAAAAAAAATAATCTGTATTTCCTTTAAAACGTTATTCTTTAGCAAAGATGTTAAGCGTTTCAAACCAGGAAGTTGAAATGTAGCAGATGATCCCTTGCCTACAAAGGCTTATCCTGCAAATGCTTACAGGCACTCATATTTACTTATTTGAATGAAATTACATAGCAGTACACTGCATCATGATAATGGCCAAATAACACATAGCTCATCTGTACTACAGTTCAGAAATAATACTCCATGTTACGTTCCGGTTTATGTTTTTTCAAGAGCAGCCGGCAACCATACAACAGCAGACACTCCAAACTGTGTCTCAGGTTAAGCACATACGTCATCTTCGAAACCAAAAGCGTAAAAAGCAACACCACCTTTGCCAACAAGCACCCACTACATGGTCACCAGAAGCTGGGCTTTCCAATTTTTTTCACTTTACTTGACAGTCCTCCACAGACACCCCTTCCTAGCTAGGAAGGTATCAGCCGAAAAGCCTACTACGTGCTTAAAAAATAGTCAGTCACGAAAGAGGCGTGAGGCGGTCCGCGCACTAACAGAGTGCACTTTTTCAAACCCGCAACAGAAAGGAAAGCGCGGTGGCAATCGCCCCTTTCAGAAACTGCGCACCGGGAAGAAGGGGGTGCCGCCTCCCCGGGTCACCCCGCCGGCAAGG